ATTTTATATCTCTTAGATTCTCTAATTCAGCGCCCCAAATTACCTTAATGTCCGATCACATGTAGCCATCTATAATAAAAATGGATTTTCAGCACCATAAAGCATTTTAATATTTAGGGCCTTATCGTTAGTCGTTACTAGAATTGTAGGTCGCCTTTATGGCCTCATTGGTTGTCATAGTCTTTTCTCTGCTTCAGAAATTTCTAGATTTCACCTGTTCGGTGTCAGCGTCAGCACTTGTGACAAACATAATCTCAATAGAGCGCGGACACGGAAAAGTAGAAAACTATGAAAATCAAGGAGACCGTAAAGGCGTCCTACAACTGTAGGAACGACTGACGATACGGCCCTTAGATACCATGTTACCACACAATTTATATTTTCTAGATCTAGATAGAAGCTAGTTCCCTAGGTAAATCGGGTACGTAGATGTCAAATTCGAATAGTTCTTTCACAAATTTTTCACCCCAAATCCGGTTGAATGCCACTTTATACTTTTGTCACCAAAGCTTCGCTCACATGTAGTCATCGATAATGAAGATGAACTTTTAGCACCTTAAAGTTACAAAAAACCGCATAGTTTAACAATTTTTCTCTAAATAATTAGATCCATATGATAAACGGCATCAGAAACATGTGAAACAACCGGGTTAGGTTTTAGTGAGACAAAATACGTACAATAGAGGTCATTTGAACCGCATTTAAAGCCTTTTAATTTTTAGTTACTATATTATTATGTTACAAAAAACACAAAAATGGGTCAGTTGGGGACGTGAGCCCAACCATTCTTATAATACGTTTTTTGGGTCGTTGAAACCGAATCCGAGGCCTATTCATTCCGGAAATGCCTCGTTTTCGAGATACTGGCAAGAATTCTACTTTGTCAAAAAACAACTGTTTTCTAGCCCCGGTTGATTACAAAAAAATTCAAAATGGGTCTTTCTTGTTAGTTAAGGTACACTGCTGAATGTTGGAAGCATTAAACCGTAACAGTTTGTCGCGGTTAGTCTTCTTATCGGTGGAGATCGGCTTGTCACTCTAAATTATATCAGTGATGTCACTCTGAGTACAAGCAATTTATCGAAGTCGGACAGCACAAAGTGCCATCTACCAACAGAATTGCAGCTCTGTGCTTTCTTACTTCAATAGGCCTTATGATCTGGAAAGAGGATAGTTGCTCAGCTTTCGATCGTGGTCCTACACGAGACCAAGCCTAGACCATGCTGAGAATCTGCTAAATACGACAAAACAGCGGTATATGGTTGGTCGTCTGTGGTCGCACGAACGATAGGTATTTTGATCTTTACAAAGAGGGAAATCTGAAGGATATATAAAATCACAGACAAATGTCACTCCTTTCAGCATTTGCTAAGGTCTTCGAGTGGATAGTGTAAACAATTATTACTATTTTGCTGTAACATCCAACATTTTATCTGATGCCCATCATAGTTTCGGGAATAATAAGTCTGAGAAAGCGGCTACCGCTGAACTTTTAAGTCTCGGTTGATTTATCGACAGCTTTTGATAGCCTGAGTAAGGATATAATATGTACAAGAAAAACTGCATTCACTTGGTCGCAGAGGCCTTATTTTAAACTGGATCGAATCTTATTTATCGATATCGATCGATATCGATAGATACCCAGTTTACATCGGTATATGGGTAGGATCAGTGTTACTTATACTTCTCATAAATTGCCTTCCAAATTTCATTTCAAAGGGTAAAGTCACAATCTTTGCCAATGATACCAGAATCACAGTTTCAGGCAGTTCTGTTGAAGAACTTTATAGGAACAAGTTAATAGTTTTTGAAAAGGTAAAGGTTTGGTGTCAAATGAATAAGTTTATATTAAACAAAAAATTAAAATACTTCAACCAACTTTCACATTAAACCATTATATTATTCCTTTAGTCACCACAACAGCTTTAAATACCTAATCACATTGGATTGCAGTTGGTAGACAGAGTTAAGCTCGTTGGTAGCTAGTTTGATGCAGATTGACTTTTGATAAGCAATATTTACTGAAATTTAAGCAAAAGCTTCTTAGCATTATTTTATATGAAACAACATTTAGATGAACAATCTCTATTATTTCTTTACTATGCATTTGTATATGTTACTGTAATATTCTATATCGGGGTAGAAGCGACTGGCAATAACAAAAACGTGTCATCAGACTAATTAAGGCCCGTATCGTCAGTCGTCCCTACAATTGTAGGGCGCCTTTATGGCCTCCTTGATTGTCATCCTCCTTTCTCTCCTTCAAAAATTTCTAGATTGCACCTGTCCCGTGTCAGCGTCAGCGGTCTCCTATTGTGAAGATATGTTTTCTTTTTAAATTGTAGGTAATTTCAGGCTGATAAAACATGATATAACTCAAAAGCAAGCACAATTTGATGCAAATAGATGTTTGTGACATAACCTCAAAATAGAGTTCTGACACGGAGAAGTAGAAAACTATGACAATCAAGGAGGCCATAAAGGCGCCCTACAATTGTAGGGACGACTGACGAAACGGGCCTTAATCTCACATTTAGGGAAACTTGCAGGCATGCTTTCATTAATATTAACAGACTCCTCACTGTACTTGTAATTTTATACAGGGTGGCGCATCGAAAACGAAACAGACGCATTTACTCGCAGCTCAGTTTTTTTTTGGAAAAACGCTCATACCCGTCGATTTTGTTTTCGAGGGGGACACAAGTTTGGCAAAAAATCACGTTAGCACGTGCAGCCCCTTAAGCAGGGGTGACACCACCCCCAAAATCTTGAATGGAAAGGGGGGTCGAGTGATACCTTATCTCAAAGGTCTTTCAATTCCCTTTATAATGAATTAATGTACTTCAGTTCAGTAGTTTTAAAGATTTATTGATTTAAAGCTTAAATAACACTAATACATCATCATTAGTGGAGATCAATACATTTGGCAGCAAAGTAATTTAAAAATGAAGAATGAACTGACCCGTTAGGCAAGTAAATGTTGAAAATGGCCACCATGACTCTCCATGCAATAATAAAGAGGTTACTCAAAACGTTGCCGCACATTTTGCAATATTTGAGGAGTAATTTGAAGGCACTCATTCACAATTATTTGTCGCAGGTCTTCTAATGATGTTGGCTGAGTAGCATAGATTTTGCTTTTTAAATGACCCCACATAAAGAAAGCTAAAGGTGATAAATGTGGCGATTTTGGGGGCCATTCAATGGCACCTCTTCTACCAATCCATAGATCTGGAAACGTCTGATCTAAATATTGTCGAACACGTAATGTGGTGGGGCACCATCCTGTTGGAACATCAACTTATTCGCAATGTACCGTCGATCATTCTGATTTTTAATTATGGCTGTTAATGCAGGATCTATGGCGTCTTCCAGTAATTTCAAATACATTTCATCGGTCAAATTTCCGGGTAAGAAAAAAGGACCAACTAAATGATCGCCAAAAATACCAGCCCAAACATTTAATTTTTGTGGCTGCTGTGTGTGAACCTCATGATAAATTCTGGGATCAGAATCGGACCAATATCGGCAGTTATGACGATTTACTACGCCATTTAAGAAAAAGGAACATTCGTCGGAAAAGCAAGTGTTGAATAGAAAATGTTCATCGTTTATAATTCGTTCACTCATATCTTCACAAGATTGTAATCGCCGATCAAAATCGTGTTCATTAAGTTCTTGTACCGGGTGAATTTTATACGGATGAAAACTATGGGCCTTTGGAATCCGTTGGACAGTACGTAGACTAACACCACACATAGTCTCCAATTTGCGGGTACTTAACGTAGGATCTACATAAACTTGCCCTAAAACCCCCACTTCTATTGCTTCGTTCCTTATGGGATTTTCAATGTTGCGTTTTTTATTGGCGACTGACCCAGTTTCCCGAAATTTAGCTACAAGTTCTAGAACATTTTTTCGATGCACGTTACTGTTCTCATGTCGCTCATCAAATATTTTTGCCATTCTATTAGCGCACTGATTATTTCCCAAACATATTTCGATAATTTTAACTCTTTCTGCTGTGGAATATACCGTGATTAATTTATGTAATAAAGCGTTACAAAAAGTTTGGTCAAATCAATCGCAAACTATGTACTAAATTCCTATTTAAAATAAGTACGAGATATCTCCTTATCTTTCTTCAAGAAATAACTTTTTTGACACATAAAACGCTATTTTCAACAACAAAATGATAAACAAACCATGGGCGTAGTAAAGAAAAGCATTTACTTATTAAGTAAATTATTTTAGTCAAATTTCTTCTGAGAGTAGTACAAACTAATCTGATGTACCTATTAAAGTCTACTTTAAGCTTTAAATCAATAAATCTTCAATACTCCTGAACTGAAGCTCATGTATTTTACATCATTATAAAGGGAATTGAAAGACCTTTAAAATAAGGTATCACTAGACCCCACTTTCCATTTAAGATTTTAGGGTTGGTGTCACCCAATCATGTTAACTCTAACGTACACTAGGTCACCGCAGTATAATTTTGTAGCAATGTCTAATGCTTTACCTAAAGTTTTGAAGGATATTGATAGCTGCTCTAGTTTTAATAGAATGGTTCTCAACTAGCTAACTGATAAATGTTTTTAATCTATCAACGAATTTTTGAACTGTGGATGTTGATACCGTTGATAATTTTTCCTTTTAAATATTATTTTTTTGCATAATTATTAACTTTGTCAACGATTTTAATGTGTTATGTACATACAATTTCAAATTTCAATTCATTATTGGATACTTTATGAATATATCTTCGGATAAAACATTTTTTCATCTTTATTTTCCATGTGCTTGTATTTTGGCTAATTAAAATACAATAAAAATACTACTACTATTACTGGGGGGAATTTGTCATTGTATGCTAATAAGTGCGACTCCTTAATAATCGGCCTTAGCCAACAGCATTGTCCACTCACCTTATGTCAATATTTACTTCTTCGTATCATAATTGTTATTACATTATGCTGAAATCGAAAAATCTTTTTCAGAATATGGTGGACTATATGGTTGTTACTCTCCATGATATTCTGCGGATTGATGGTCTACCAAATATTCGACAAATACATAAACTACCCAGTGTTAATAACGTTTTCTATGAAGGAAACGCGCCTCCAACAAATTCCGTTTCCAGCTGTGACGATATGTCCTAGGGCTAAGTTTTCATTGTCGCATTTCAACATCACTGCTGTTCTTGAAAAAATGAAGGCTGATAATATCACTGAAGAAGAGTAGGTAACATCAATATGAACGTAATATCTAGTTTGAATTTTATTTTAAAGGGTGTTAGCCAAGGAGCAACATTTTAACGGGTGTAAGAAACCTTGCACAAGTTTTGCATACAGGGAAAACCAAATTTCTCTGACGGCTTGAGTTCAATGTGTACGATAGAGGCGCGCGAGAAGTGTGTATCAACACATGTTAGGAATGGAAAAGCGAAGGTCATCACCACATTTCCTAGCAACGGTGGCGCAGAAGATCGTGCAATCTGCCGTGTTGCCAATATGTTACACCGGAAAATGTTCGCACAGGCTGCTACAATAGGTTACTATCAAACCCAAGAAGAAGGTCGGTTGGAACATGTTATTTAATATTTTGTTTTCAGTTTGATTAGAATTATTTATTTAAATTTTGATGCGATTTAGTGTTTTAAGTTATTTTAATATAATGTTTGATTTCCACCGATGGTGATAAAATCAACACATCCTACGGTATTGATACATTTTGCGACAGCGCCGTGTTCGAAAAGTGTAACAAATAACGTTACTCAATACAAATTATCACTGCCTGTGTGTACGCAGTTGATAGCCGTTAGGACCGATCGGGAATCGATCCTGAACAGATTCGACTCAATTCACAAGTCAAAAATGTGTACGCTCAAAATAACAGTCATTTGTGAGTAAAGAATAAGCTAACGCATATTTTCAATATGCATCTTAATTCAAGGAACTGGCGTAACATATTGGCAACTCGGCAGATTGCCGCGTCAGGGTTGCTAGGCAACGCGGTGATGAGCTTCGCTATCCAGGCGGCTTCTATCTCTTTCTAACATATTTGTCTGTACACACTTCTCTCTCGTACACATTGAACGTCGGACAAATTTGGTTTTTACTGTATATGGGTTCTGCTAAAAAACGATATTTATTGAAAAATTCGTTGGCCATATATCTTCAAAATGAAATCTTTCTGCGAAAATTCTTAAAGAGTTCCGATGACGGCCTATTACATAGTATAGTCGTATATATTCAATAGATTTTATCTGTTTTAGAGCACAAAAAATTGGCTGCGCGTTGGAAGTTTGTGAATTCTTCAAATTCAGAAAGACGGAACAGTAGCGAAATTCCAACGGGTGTGAGAGACTGCACAAATTTTGTAGAACAAGTAACTGCACATATGTTTTTTTGACAAAAACTGTAATTATTATCGAAAATTACGTTCGCACTATACTTTCAAAACAAAATGGGTTTTTGAAAATTGTTAGAGAACGATTTTTTTAGGAATAGGTACACCTCAAGACTCCATACTTGGACCCCTATCATTAATCATATATCAGATCTTAGTCTATTATATATTTTCTATACTCAACCGATTTTATATGTTCTAAAGCACAGAAAATACGCTATGCATCGACAGTTTGTAAATTCTCCAATTTCAGTAAGATATAAAAGCACCCAAATTTAAAGATGTCTGACCTTGTAGGAATTTTGTAGAATAGGAAACTGCCTCTATGGCTTTTGCTAAAAAAATGTAATTGGACATTTCGTTTGCCGTCTTTCCTCAAAATGGAATGGTTTTTCAAAAACGGTTTGAAAACGAATTTTCAGGTATAGGTCCTCAATGCACTATACTTAGACCCCTATCATTTATCATGTACCCGTTGCCAGCCTACTACATATTTCCTATAATCAACCGATCTTATATGTTCTAGAGCACAAAAAATTGGCTACGCTTCGGCAGTTTGTGAATTCTCCCATTTTAATAAGACGGAAAGCTATTCTCGTGAAGGATTTTATAAATTTCTCAATGAGGCAGGTCACATATATTATATTTTATATTTTTTCGTATGAATATCGATCTTATTCCAGAGTAGACCTTCGAGTATATTCAAATACTGTTCGTATCTCGAGAAAGAGCCAGATTGTACAGAATTTTTTAAGCCCATATTGACAGAAGAAGGGGTTTGTTATAGTTTCAACATCTTGGACAAGACTGATATGTTTAGAGACAATGTCGAGTAAGTACGAAAATTGATGCCTCATAATTTAAGCTTTTGTGTCTTTCCTATTTCTCCATAAATTTAGGTCAATGTTGGTTGAATGTCCTTCAAAGAAAGATCTAATCGGTATTTCCCAGACTAGCAAAAAAATCATAATTCTTTTCAAAGTGTCCTTCTTTTACTGAGTATTTTATTACTCCACCTTGAAGACACACTTGGGAAATTGAAACGTCATTTTGTGCACTTTTGACCCATGAGCAATGCACATTTGGTGGGGATGATGACCACAGTGCTACTCTAATCATCAATCCATATAGACGATAACTCTAATTTAAAATTTTGTGTGACTCATCTTTTCGATTTATTATATTTACAATAAAAATGACGTTTTAGATTCCAACAATATTTGCCTAACTCCAAGCGTCTACCTAATACTAGTTAAAGAGCTGCCAATCACCCAACAGCTTAAGACAGTGATCAAAGGCTGGAAATACGATACGTTTATCCTTTGGCGTTTTGCCCTGAATTAAATCTTTAGATAAATGTTCCTCATTTTCTGCGGTACGATCTACGATAATTTGGTATACGAGGGACAGGGAATCATTTTTGCAGAAACTATTAGATGAAACGCATTTGATCCATTCCGTTGTTTATTCTTTTAATCTGTATATACGAGCCCCTTCCCACTTCAGTTGGCCCACTTCAAGATTTGTACCAAAATATGCCTTTATAAACTAAACATGACGAAACTATTTACTTCTAAAACAATTTATTTTCTCAAAAACATTTTAGATACACTCTAGTCGTAAAAAATACATATTTGAAATCACTTAGACCTATAACTAATAGAACATCTGAAGAAACAAGCAATGTGCGAATAAATGCGCGAAGTTAACAAAGCAACAATTGAAAGATTACCATTGGGTAACATCACCTTTATTTTTTATTACGGCTGAAATTTTTTGGGGCATAGCGTTAACCAAGTTTTGGCAAAAATTTGGTGTAAAACAATCCCTATTTCTTGAAGCTTTTGTCTCAGTTCGGTGATTGTACGAGCAGTATGTTGTCGTAGAACTTTTTTCATCTCGTGCCATCAAGTTTCAAAAGGTGACAGATCGGGACTCCTAGAAACCCATTTCAAAAGTGGTACATTATTTTCTTCCATCCATTTTATAGCCTTTTTTGAGGTATGGCACGCTGCACCATCTTGCTGAAACACAAAATCTAGGCCGGATGTCAAACATTCTTCCATCACTGGTAAAAGCGATTGTTCTAAAATTGTCAAATACTTGTTTGTATCCACATTTCCATCAATAAAATGCAGTTTTCCTACTCCTTTTGATGACATACTGCCCCAGACCATAATGGATGCTGGTAATCTCACTTTTCTATTCGGACAGTCAACATGGAATGCTTCATTTTTTTTTGGAAATAACTCTACTGCGACTGTCACCAACACAAATTTCGAATCGGGCCTCATCACTCCATTGTATTGCACACCATTGTTGAGGTGTCCATTGTCTATGTTCTTTAGCCCATCTAAGCTGGTTTTTCCTTTGCAGTGGAGTTAATAGTGGTTTTTCTTTGGCCGATAAACAAGTTGTGCAACTTTAGGGTTTTTACTTCACTTTTTTATAAGAAAACTTACCTTGCAAGTGCTAAATCCCAGTTTGTGGACCTCTCTATGAGTTGTGGACCTCGAAATTCTCCTTCCAACAGCGTCACTCCACAGAGCACTTAATTGCAAATAATTGGCACGCCTGTTTTTCACGATTATTCTTCTTAATGCTCTTCGGTCGGCATTTGTGATATTACTTTTTTTCACATATCGTGGCTTAATATTAACTGAACCAGTTACGTTATATCTTCTAACAATATTTCTCACACTGTACCGCGATAAGTCTAACAAAGTTGCAATTTCTGAGTTTGACTTCCCAGAATTAAAAAATTTAATTATCAGTGACCGAATTTTCTCACTAATAACCTTTCCTCTACCCATTTTGAGAACCTTAACTACCCAAAACTATTTTAGACGTATTCTGACAGCTGTGATTAATAAAAGCAATTGTCATGGCTTTTATTTTCCACAGCCACCTATGCGTTATAGACTTATTTTGCATTGAAATGAAAATAGGTTGATATGCTGTAATTGCAACATGTGTTATTTTTATGCTGCAAATTTGATTAGGGAGTGATAAAGTTGGTGTTTTCTGCTATATATTATTTGTGTTTGATAAGAAAAAACTAAGATTTCAATAGTTGGGTCAACTGAATTGGGAAGGGGCTCATATAAATGTGAATGTCTGTCCAGTCTGACAGCATCACTTCTGCATCGTAATACCGAGAGACGTAAAAATTTATACTTATTGAAATCCGAGGAAGGTTATAGGCATGGTTTTATCAAAAAGTATGGATCAATCAAAATATCTCGAAAAATGCGTTTATTATAGAAAAATGTTGTAGAACAAAGTTATGAGGTTTAAAAAGATTCATCTAATGGTGATCTTGAACTTGACATACAATAGGGATTTCATCAAATCGGAAATGTAAAGAGCAAAAAACTTCATGTTCAAATATTTCCATGACCTTGTCTATGACTATAAAAGTCTTTTGAAGATCAAATTAATTTTTAACGGGAAACATCTGTTCTTAATTTCTGAAATACAAATTGCGGACAATTTTAAGTTCTAATATATCCTTTTCAATGAACGCGGCCATGATATTCAAGGTTATTTTAAGATCAGATAAATTTCCAGGGGTTAATTAAAAATGACAGAAATAAACCGCGATACTTGTCAAAGCCGACATTTTTTCTCGATGCCACAGTGTTGTCAGGTTGTGGTCTGGCAACACTGGTCTGTTTTCCATTCTCCCAGATGAGTTGACCCCCGTGTTGGTACATGTGATTAAGTGACATACAAACTTCAATTTTTTTACAGAAGTGATAGAAATAAATTTAACAAGCCATATAAATTACGAATCAGAAAAAAGGATTATCACCTTCACTAAAAATGTACAAGGTATTCCATTTAAAAAGATACAACTTTTTCCAATAGTACTTTTCTGAGACCCGGTGTACTAAAGGAATATTACATGGAATACTTCATACTTAGCCCTATAAGTTCTATACACAACTTTTTGTTTTGGGAAGTCATATAAAAAAGCTAGAGGTGAGCCTGTACAGACACCTAGACCTCACCACTTTCTCGCTACCCGCACCTAGACAAGATAGCAGGTGCTGCCAAAAAGCCGAGAATAAAATCCGTAAACACTGTATGTCGTGAACTATGATACTAATAACAAGATATCCCTCGTATCTCGTTTTGGCGCATCTTCCTCACAAATATATACAAATCTTTTTAGCCGTGGCCCATTTATAACATGTGCAAAACATGCATATAATGCTCTCACCATATCTCTAACAAAATTAATGCACGAATAAATGTCACATACTTAACACTAAACGGTTGGATAAATAAACGAGAATGGTCTGCATGTTATCTATGTTTCAAGTGGAAAACATCTGGAAATCAATCATGCACCAGCTCAGTATAAATTCTTGTTTGACGCCGATTGTGATGTTGTTTTGGATACATCCCAATTGCGAAAATGGCAGATATCATGTTTTGCGGTATTTCGAGTTTTAGGAGACATTATTTAATTGGGCTGACTCAAAAGATGCATAGTAACTCGGAAAGCCTTTTAAGATGAAGGTCACACTCTTTACTGATCATTCTGTACCATCGTCTTGGCTACACGGTCAATAAATATCACATTCCAAGATAAATACTAAGGGATAATAGTAAATACAGATATAAGGCGCTGAGATAATAATTCTGAAATCGAGAAAAAAAGTATATTTATTGAACAGAATTTATATACAGGGTGGCGCATCGAAAACGAAACAGACGCATTTACTAGCAGCTCAGTTTTTTTTTGAAAAACGCTCATACCCGTCGATTTTGTTTTCGAGGGGGACATAAGTTTGGCAAAAAAATCACATTAGCACGTGCAGCCCCCTATCCGGGGGTGACACCACCCCCAAAATCTTAAATGGAGAGGGGGATCGAGTGATACCTTATTTTAAAGGTCTTTCAATTCCCTTTATAATGATATAAAATTAATGTTCTTCAGTTCAGTAGTTTTGAAGTTTTTTTGATTTAAAGCTTAAATAAAACTAATACATCATCATTAGTGGAATCAATACATTTGGCAGCAAAGTAATATAAAAATGAAGAATGAACTGGCCCGTTAGGCAAGTAAATGTTGAAAATAGCCACCATGACTCTCCATGCAATAATAAAGATTTTGCTCAAAACGTTGCCGCACATTTTGCAATATTTGAGGAGTAATTTGAAGGTACTCATTCACAATTCTTTGTCGCAGGTCTTCTAATGATGTTGGCTTAGTAGCATAGATTTTGCTTTTTAAATGACCCCACATAAAAAAATCCAAAGGTGATAAATCTGGCGATCTTGGGGGCCATTCAAGGGCACCTCTTCTACCAATCCATCGATCTGAAAACGTCTGATCTAAATAGTTTCGAACACGTAATGCGTAATGTGTTGGAACATCAACCTACTCGCAATGTACAGCAGATCATTCTGATTTTCAATTATGGCTGTTAATGCAGGATCTATGGCGTCTTCCAGTAATTCCAAATACATTTGACCGGTCAAATTTCCGTGTAAGAAAAAAGGACCAACTAAATGATCGCCAAAAATACCAGCCCAAACATTTAATTTTTGTGGCTGGTGTTTGAACCTCATGATAAATTCTGGGATTAGAATCGGACCAATATCGGCAGTTATGACGATTTACTACGCCATTTAAGAAAAATGAATATTCGTCGGAAAAGCAAGTGTTGAATAGAAAATGTTCATCGTTTATAATTCGTTCACCCATATCTTCAGAAAATTGTAATCGCCGATCAAAATCGTCTTCATTAAGTTCTTGTACCAGGTGAATTTGATACGGATGAATACTATGGGCCTTTAGAATCCGCTGGACAGTACGTCGACTGACACCACACACAGTCTCCAATTTGCGGGTACTTAACGTAGGATCTACATAAACTTGCCCTAAGACCCCCACTTCTATTGCTTCGTTCCTTATGGGATTTTCAATGTTGCGTTTTTTATTGGCGACTGCCCAGTTTCCCGAAATTTAGCTACACGTTCTAGAACATATTTTCGATGCACGTTACTGTTCTCATGTGGCTCATTAAATATTTCTGCTGTTCTATTAGCGCACTGATTATTTCCGAAAAATATTTCGATAATTTCAACTCTTTCTGCTGTGGAATGTACCACGGTTAATTTATGTAATAAGGCGTTTCAAGTTATTTTAGCAACAAAGTTTGGTCAAATTAATCGCAAACTATGTGCTAAGTTCCCATTTAAAATAAGTACGAGATATTTCCTTATCTTTCTTCAAGAAATAACTTTTTTGCCACAAAAAAACGCTCCAATAGCTATTTTCAACAACAAAATGATAAACAAACCATGGGCGTAGTGAAGAAAAGCATTTACTTATAAAGTAAATTCTTTTAGTCAAATTTCTTCTGAAAGTAGTACACACTAATCCGATGCACCTATTAAAGTTTACTTTAAGCTTTAAATCAATAAATCTTCAAAACTACTAAGCTGAAGTACATTAATTTTATATCATTATAAAGGGAATTGAAAGACCTTTAAAATAAGGTATCACTCGACCTCCATTTAAGATTTTAAAGTTGGTGTCACCCCCGCTCAGGGGGCTGCACGTGTTAACGTGATTTTTTGCCAAACTTGTGTCCCACTCGAAAACAAAATCGACGGGCCTGGGCGTTTTTCCAAAAAAAAATTGAGCTGCCAGTAAATGCGTCTGTTTCGTTTTCGATGCGCCACCCTGTATATATAGCTTGATATGCAAAGGTCGAAGATTCATCGTACCCAAGTCAACCTACCTAATAAAGATTCGATTTCGCCTTTTGAAACGGTTTGACTTGTCTCTTTCCTTTGAAACCTCCAATGAAGGCGTTTCAAGTATAGAGTCAATCTAATTGAGGCAATTTTTTCAATGCCACTTCGTATACATACTTTCATATTTATAATATCGGTAGATATTTTTGTATACCTCCCATTTAGAAATAATGCCATTACTCACTGAATCACTTTGAATTGCTCCGCGTAGACTAGCTAGATGTTAAAGAATCCAAAGCTAAGCCTCTTGTTTTGTTAAAGGTTTAACCTCCCCGATTTTCATTCAACATCCCAGATACAGCATTGGGATGTCGAAAGTGGATTCACGGCTTCACAAATCCATACTTATCCTCAACGAGCTTTAAGAATAGGACAGAAGAACGCATTTTATGTGTTGATGAAAACAAGAAAATCGGATATAGAGTATGAGTGCCCCATGGGCGAGTCTGGATACAGGGTAAGAAAATTCAAAGTGTTATTAAATTGCAGCAACATTTCGAGAGAGGCGCAGACAGCTTGCGCCAGTTTTGCCTCTAAAAGCCTCTAAACACTCACGCGACAATCTCGCGAGAAAGCGAAAAAAAAAAACATGAAAATGTGAATGTGGAACAGACTTTCATAATCTTCGGAGGTTCAAGGCTTGTTCTCCGATTTTTGTCGTTTTTTTTTGTCGCGAGACAAAGGAGCTGAAAACCCGAGAACAGGCGAGAACTTGTATTGACTCCACACTCGCATGTTTCTCAGTGGCAGGTGACTCGCCGATTAGAACAGTTGTGCGTGGTATTTACTACTGAGCATCAATATGAGCCGGATTTGGACGAACGAACTAGAATTGGCATTCCTAGAATATTTTCAAGCAGAACCGATTTTTTGGAATACAAATTTAAAAGAATATGTAAATAAACTAAGAGCTCACGATGCGTGGAAACGTATTAGTACCTTGATGGAATTACCCATTGAAGAATTAAAAGAAATCGGAAAAATCTGGTGCTGGTGTTGACGACATTTAATTCTGCGTCCATCGTTTACGAGCACGAGAACTGTATTGAGTACCTTGCGACTGTGGACCCAAAGAGGTTCTCGCCGAGATTTTTGCTGAGATTCTTGTGGACCGGCTTAAAGACTTTTTCCTAACATTGGAGCAATTTATAGTATTCCTCTTAGTAATTGGAATATAAAAAAACGTAGGCTGGTATTATGTGGGTCCCACATGATGCTTCCAATGTTGTTTACATGTTTACAACATTCGACACCCCACAGTTGGCAAGTGTGTCTGCTACAAGATGGGATGAACTTTTTAGTTTTGGACGTTCGACGCATGGTGGTGCCAACGTTTATTATCGGTGTCAGTGTCGCGCTTGAACCTTTACAAAGGAAAAATTATAAAAAATAAACGATGAATCAATTTTTTCGAGCGCCGAGAAATAATTTCAGATCAGTCCTCAGCGATCAAGACTAAAGTCTGTCAGAAGTCTCAAAAATGTCGAAAGACGAAGTCAGACCGTTTTTTGTTTTTTTTATCGACGATAGCCTCACCGCCACTGTACCGATTTTCAAAAACTGCAGAGCTTTTTCATTTTAATAGTAGTAACCTAGGGTCAAAATTTCATCAAAATCGTGATAGTACTTTCAGAGTTATCATTTCTTTAATCTTTTTCGTTAGTTATGAAATGCAAGTCAATATATTTCTCAGCTAGACCTGCATTGCAACAGGACATTATAATGAAACAACTGTAAGCACTTGATAATTTACTAATATACATCTCCTTAGGCCAGCCATAACTGACCTGCGAAACGTACAAAATATTAGCAATATGAAAAAAGTGCTGTTATGACAGCCTATGTTTTGTATGTATACTAATTTAATTCATTCTTCTCAAAAGTTAGTTACGGAACATACATTATTATGAATAGGTAGGTATTCAAATCAAAATACATCCCACCCCACATACCACAACTTCACCACAATCACAGCAAGCAAATAAATAATGTTTGTCGCCGTTACTGGTTCTGATCTAAAATCATCAAACACATGACATCTCGTGTAGGTGCGTGACGTAGGTACCATGCTTCCAACGTTGCAACGTTCTTTGACGCGGGTCAAATTTACCGACAAGAGCCCGAACATGCCATGTGGCGAACGTTGGACACATGCAATCCGCAATGCGCTCTTCCATACGATGTGGCGGATTACTATGTGCCCAACGATGTAAGGCATTCGCCACATCGTGTGGGAGCGGTTTTACACATAAAATAGAATATAAAGGCTCGGCACGGGTATTACGTATCTTGAAAAGTGACATTATGCCGATTTTTTTGACATTATGCTGTTTTTTTTGACATAATGTAGGTTCTTCTACAAAATGTTACCTTAGTACATAGTTGTACGTGTTGCCTAAACGTCACGACGCTTGTTATCAATCTTTGGCTATGATGTGATGTAAAATCTGCTTCTGAGATGGCATTACTGGAGGTCTAAGCTGTAAGTTGTATGTGTACACTTATATACACTTAATTGAGATTCAAAGCTAAAAATTAGTTGCGCATCCACTTTTTCTTATCCATTCTGGAAATTACATATACAAATTTGCTGAAATGAGAGAGATAAGAAATAATTATATTCACTGTACACGGTCGAATTACAAGCCATATATGAGCGGTAGTCATTGCCAAAGCCAACGACCAGTTGGGTACAAAATACAATTAATTGTTAATTGGGAAATTGGCAAAACTCTTAGGCTTAAGTTGACTCTTTTGACGATAAAATCAAGCTTTCGGCATTCTCTATGGAGCCTTCATCAGGATTCTGAAAATAGAATTGCGATGCTAGCAAACAAAAGACAGATTTAAATTGTCAGACAACTTACTCGTGGGTGAGGTTGCAGCCACAAGGTGTTTCAGAACGAACGTAGAGAAGATCGAAATTATAATCAGTATAAAAACAAAAGGACGGGGACATTGGGTTTGCTGTAAAACGACAGATACCTTCGTTAAATGTTAAAAAAAATATCAATCCACCCGAACAAGTTAAGAATATTACACGAGAGACGACATTTTGTTGAAACAATCGGAATGCAGACTCTAACCTTCTGTATCCGCAACACGTGGAGAGGGGGACGGCACGGAAAGATAAAGCGTCGACAGATGACAAGTGATTGACGCGACGGACCGTGGAACTGTAAACCTCCCTGTCCAGCTTTGGGTATGAAGTATACGAGGGACGCTCGCTAAACCTCCACCCAAAATTACTAAAATACTGAATTAACTTGTCTTGGAAACATTTTTGTGTAGTTCATATGAGTGTAAGAATGTGTGATATTGATACAACCTTGAAAATGTGGGTTATGTGAGTTTATATTAAAAATGTGAGTGAGAAAATGTATTCCAATTTTGTGAAGATGTTGGTTCAATTTGGATATGTAGCCGTTCTAGCTTTTCGCAATTCAACAGGTAGGAATAAATGACACTGAGCTGCTTGATATCAGCCTTTTTATTCATGCAATGATCTGTCATGAAAATGTGGGACATTTCTAAAAATAAACGTTTCGAGGGTCTTTTTTTTATCAAGAACCTCAACACTGCCATAATTCATGGAGTTACCTGTGTTGTTAATATGCGATGCCAAAGCACATCTCTCTGGATGTAATCTGGCGTCACTTTTGTGTGAAGTTATATATATATATATAAAATTAACTAATCTACGCCGCGAGTGCTTACAGATGTAAATGTGTTTTTATTCAACTGTAGCTTAGGTACCTTGTTGTCTTAAACCCTTCAACTATGCCCTAAGCGCCACTTTATGAAAATGAAAAGATTTGATGAGAGAAACAACATAAGCAAGGTTACATGATATTATATTTTGATATATGAAACAATATATCGTCTAGGTTGAAAATAAGACTACATTTTCAGGTCATCCTTCATTTTCCGTCTTGCTACCCCGACGTGACGGAAAACCACTTCACGGTTCCTCTGGGACAAAGTGTCACCGGGGTCATCATTCCTCACATGATAAAAACATCAGAAGGTGTAAAACGATTCCACCCACAGACGAGGGATTGTTACTTCCAATCCGAAAGACCCCTGAAGTATTTCAAGGTCTATACGCAGGCAAATTGTCTGTTGGAATGCAAGACAAACTATACTTTGGATATATGCGGATGCGTTGGGTTTCATATGCCTAGTAAGTTATCAGAATGAAGATATATAATAACACCTGTAAGTTATTTAGTTGGAATTTATCGTTGTCCATTAGTCATTCAATTATAGTCTTTCATTTATTTATATTATTAAATAATCTCTGGTTATTATCAAAATTCATTCACATGCCAACAGATTTCACTTCCTCTAAGATAAGCAGAGAAGACGTGAGGGGTTCGCTTTCCGTCGGTCTGTCTTTTTATACCGAAATAGCCGCGCAGGTCGTAGCCTGAAACCAGGGTACTGCTACAAGGAGCTTAAATAACTTTATTAATCCGATTTTTGAACTGCCTAAGTTTAATAGAACTGCGAAAAGCCTCCTCAGGTGGATGGTTCCACAATCTCGTTAACCTAGCAGCAAAAACCTCCAGATTTCTCGACAGAGAGGAAGTCGAAGTTTGCATAAGAAGACGGCATGCCACAGCTGTTCGAACGCTTTCGTGGTATACGACAAGAAGTCCCCTGTGGATCGCTGTTGCCGGAAACCAATGTTGCGGCTTTTCGATAAACCTAAAATAGGTACAGAAGAAATGCGGTTTATACATACAAAAATGGTGACAAGTACAAATTCGAATGTGCAAGATATTAGTATCAGGTTTAGTCGACGGATATTCTGGAAACTAGAGTTATAATCATAAATGTCTTTTCATATCAAGTGCGAGAAGAACTACAAATATTAACGATATGCACACAATGATAATTGATAGCATTTTTGGTTAATATAAGTCAAATTTAGCGACAATCTTTAAGCACTATGGAATCGATTCTTACCCGAGTCCCTTAAGCTATGTTTTTAAGGAACTGTTCACAAAAAGTATTTAGTTATCATTTACAAAATATGGCGTTGAGTAGACTGACTAATGCCAAAGATACATTTACAGCCCCCAACACCTTGCAAATTTTCAACCCCTATGAAAATTTTTCCGAAAATGATCAGGAGCTTCTGAAACATAAAAAAAGAAGTTTGTGTGATTTTTATTTATTGAAAATATCATCAAAAACCGAACGGTAATTATCAAGTTATAGGCAGTTATAAGACTAGCAGACACACCGACAGATAGCTCGACGAAAATGAGTGACATGGTTTTACATGGTTGTACATGTCATACAATATCCAAAGAGACATAATATCTCGTTTTTTGGCATAGGAAGTGAAACAATTGAATGTATCAAGTCAGTCAGACAGGACCAGTTACCCCCTTTCCGACGGAAAGTCCTGGCCATCTGGCAACGCTGCTATCGATAGTGTAACGGATCTAACATAAACCAAAAATTATGGTATTACCTAATATTTTTCAGAAACTGAAGGTACTCCAATATGCTTAATGGAGAAGTTATACTCTTGTATGGAGAATGTGGAATGTAAGTACTACGTGGAATTTTTAAATAATAACACGAATATTTAGCAAGTCTGTCACGTGCCAAAGTTACGTAACCCTTTTTTTTACTATTTTGATCACTTACTAGTAATTTGATTATCTCTTTATTTGGTAGAGGCCAAACCCTTTTCAATGATTTTCTTTTGGTAAATTTCATAGTTTATTGATTGTATAATTTCACACGTATTAGTATTATATCTTTCTTTCTCAGTGATTCAGTATTGTGTTGAATAAAAAAACTTTGGTTTTTCTCTGGTTTTCTATCGAACATACGAGGGATGTCTTTTAAGTTTTGCATATGGAAATAAAACAACACGGTAGGTTAAATGACTTTATTGTTTTTCGAAGTATTCTCCACGAAGATTAATACACATCTGCATGCGCTCGAACCAATTTTCGAAGCACTTATTCCACTCGTTTGCTGGCAGATCCAAAATGGCATTTTTGAATGCGTCAACTGCTTCTTCTGATGACTGGAACCTTTGGCGACGCAGTCTGTTTTTAATTTTCGGGAAATTAAAGAAATCTTTAGGACTTAGATCGGGACTATATGGAGGATGGTCCAATAATTCCACGTTTTCTTCCGTTAAATACTGCCTTGTTTTTTGGGCAGTAACAGTTCTTTGCTCATTAAGAGGAATTGTTGCAATATGACCCGCTTTTGCACAAATGTCGCGACCATCTTTTTCGAAACACTTCGAGAATGGATGACTTTTCTTGGCTTTTCTTCACCTTGGAACACCCAAACAGCCGATTGTCGTTTATTTTCTGGTTCATAACAGTAAATCCACGATTCATCACCACTAACAATGCTGTACACATTTTTTGAGTTGAGGTCTTTGAGATCTTCAAGGACGCCTCAATCTCCCGATATGTCACATGTCTATCTTCAATGATGAGTTTGTGCACAGCATCGACGTTTTCCTGGGTGACTGCCGTTTTTGGTGCACCCACCCTGGAATCGTCGCTAAGACTCACCCGTCCACGTTTGAATTCTCCATACCAACGGGAAATTGTCGACTGATGTGGCGCTTCGTTGCCGAAAACAGACAGTAACTCAGCAAAGCATTCTTGTTGCGATAATTGTCTCTGAAAGTTGTAATAAATTATGGCGCGAAAATGTTCTCGATTGAGTTCCATTTTTCTAATCACTTGGTCACACTTAAAAATTCACTGTAGTGAGAACACTGCACGAACTATTGTGAAACTTTGAGTTTAAGTTTACTAAGGAGTGAGATTACGATTCAGTACTGACGTTCGATCCGCGCGGCCTACTATGCAAAACTTAAAAGACATCCCACGTATCTTCTTCAAGGCCACTCATTGAACCTTCGTTTATAAAGTTAGGTGTTTCGTGTCAGTCGCTTTCCTCCTGAGATTGTGGTGTGAGCGCCATTTGTTTAACCTCCAGATTCTGGGATATTGGGTGCGGAACACCAGTTTGTGGAGTAGTACCCCTTAATATTGTACCTTCCGTTTAGTTGTTTTGGTTTGGGTGCTACCCCGTCCATTTCCTTATGGATTTTGATCTTCAGCGGGCACTCCTTCCCCTTAGCAAAACAAAACCCTGACGTGAACAAATAAAGTATCATTTTAATTAACTATTTTATAGATATTATTTATATATTGATTATTGCTGAAATTCTTAGGATTTGTTTGTTATTTTACGTGTTTAAACATGGAGCAGTACCTACATGGCACCTTGTATTGGGCATTACTTACGTTGATCATGATTTTGATTTTTGAGCTGCCATAACGTTATTTTAGAACAAGGGATAAATTTCTGAGGGAATATCACTTTAGTACATTTTTTCACAAGAAAAGTAAAGCAAAGGTAAAAAAATATAAAAATATATATAAATATAAATATAAGCTGGTGTTCCGCAATTAATGTCCCAGAATCTGGAGGTTAAACAAATGGCGCTCACACCACATCTCAGGAGGAAAGTGACTGACACGAAACACCTAACTTTATAAAGGAAGGTTCAATGAGTGACCTTGAAGAAGATATATTCGATAGAAAACAAAGTAACGGAGAAAAACCAGAGTTTTTTTTAAACACAGTACTGAATCACGGAGAAAGAAAAATATAATAAGTGTGAAATTATACAAACAATAAACTATGAAATTTACCAAAAGAAAACCGTTGAAAAGGGTTTGGCCTAGGAATGGGCACTTAATGAAGAGAAAATCAATTTACTAGTAAGTGATCAAAATAGTAAAAAAAGGCTACGTGATTTTGGCACGTGACAAGTCACTGAACTTATTCAAGAGTTACATCGTTCGAAACTTATCTGGGCATTTTTCTACCTACAAAACAAGTATTATTCTGGCTCTGATGATTTCCACCGTCAATTGACTAATAGAAAAGAGCTTGTAATCATTTATCTCTCAAAATTGACTTTTTGTTTTTTAGGGGACGTCTTTTATACAGTATACAACGACTACGCGGTCGTCGAAGAAGAAGTGAAACATCCGAATTTTACTCAATGTGACTGTCGCCCAATGTGTACAGACGTCTCTTACAGATTGGAAATGTCACAAAATCCGATTTTATACAGTCCCGGAATGTTCGCTAAAATTAATGATAAAGAAGAATTTCCTATGTGAGTATATCTACGTCATAGAAAGTACTTGTAGATACGAGGGACATCTTCTAAGTTTTGCATATAGAAACATAGTAGGCCGCGCGGATAGAACGTCAGAACTGAATTTTAATCTCACTCTTCAGTAAACTTAAATCCAAAGTTTCACAACAATACATGCAGTGTTCTCACTACAGTGAATTTTTAAGTGTCATCAAGTCATTAGAAAAATGGAACTCAACCGAGAACATTTTCGCGCCATAATTTATTGCAACCTTCAGAGACAATTATCGCAACAAGAATGCCTTGCTGAGTTACTGTCTGTTTTCGGCAACGAAGCGCCACATCAGTCGACAATTTTTCCGTTGGTATGGAGAATTCAAACGTGGACGGGCGAGTCTTAGCGACGATTCCAGGGTGGGTGCACCAAAAACGGCAGTCACCCAGGAAAACGTCGATGCTGTGCACAAACTCATTATTCAAGATAGACATGTGACATATCGCGAGATTGAGGCGTCCTTGAAGATCTCAAAGACCTCAACTCAAAAAATGTGTACAGCATTGTTAGTGGTGATGAATCGTGGATTTACTGTTATGAACCAGAAAATAAACGACAATCGGCTGTTTGGGTGTTTCAAGGTGAAGAAAAGCCAAGAAAAGTCATCCGTTCTCGAAGTGTTTCAAAAAAGATGGTCGCGACATTTGTGTCAAAAGCGGGTCATATTGCAACAATTCCTCTTAATGAGCAAAGAACTGTTACTGCGGATTGGTATACCACCCTTTGTTTGCCAAAAGTCACCACCGAGCTTCGAAAAATCAACCCCGAAAGAAGAATCATCCTCCAGCAAGATAATGCAAGCTCGCACACAGTCCAAAAAACAAGGCAGTATTTAACGGAAGAAAACGTGGAATTATTGGACCATCCTCCATATAGTCCCGATCTAAGTCCTAACGATTTCTTTACTTTCCCGAAAATTAAAAACAGACTGCGTGGTCAAAGGTTCCAGTCACCAGAAGAAGCAGTTCACGCATTCAAAAATGCCGTTTTGGATCTGCCAGCAAACGAGTGGAATAAGTGCTTCGAAAATTAGTTCGAGCGCATTCAGATGTGTATTAATCTTCGTGGAGAATACTTCGAAAAACAATAAAGTCATTTAAAACTACCTACCGTGTTGTTTCATTTCCATAGGGGCCGTTCAAGTATTACGTAAGCAGATTTATTACAATTATTTACCCCCCCATCCCCCTTGTCAGCAAATGTAAGCAAAGCTGTTACCCCCTCCCCCCATGATTACGTACATTTGTCAATTAATGTATTGTTTTTTTTTAATATTATAATTATAACGTTATTATATATATATATATATATATGGCGAGTTTCTGCAACCTAAGGTCGCTTCTCGCAACCCATACGCCATCATATCCTATCGTTCCAGTCTCCTTCATGTAGTCCTCTACTTTCCATTGCGGTATGGATGTTTGAAATCCATTTCCTTCGTGGTCTTCCTCGTTTATTTCTTTGTGCTGGTGTCCATTTCCAAACTCTTAATGGTATCCTTTCTTCGTTCATTCGTTGCAGGTGTCCATACCATTTTAACTGCCTCTCTGTTATATCGTCCATTATTGTATTTTCGACTTCCATTCTTTCTCTGATGGTCTCATTTCTAACATGGTCAAGTAAAGTTAAACCGGAACATCTTCTCCAGTACATCATTTCGGTTGAGAGAAGCTTTTGTGACATATTTTTATCTACAACCCACGCTTCTGACCCATACGTCAGTACTGGCTGAATCATAGCCTGATATATAATTTTTTTTGTTTTCTTTGTTAGGTTCTTACTCCACAAGATCGGATGTAGTGCTTTAATCATATTTTTTCCTTTTCCTATTTTCCTTAGTATGTCTTTATTATCCTTTCCGCTTTCATCTATTGTAACTCCTAGGTACTGGTACTGTCCGACGTTTTCTATTTTTCCGCTTTTTGTTTCGATGTCTTGTCCTGTGCCTCCTATAGTCATGTATTGTGTCTTTTGTATATTTATCTCCAAACCCCATTTAGTGAATTCTTCTATAAGTTTGTTTATCATGTAAGTCATGTCTTGCTGGTCTTCTGCAAAGACTACCTGATCATCTGCAAAGAGGATTGTATACAAGTGAAAGTCCTCTAACCATATCCCCATGGGGCTGCACTTTCTTATCCACTGTTTTAAAGCGCTGCAGAGATAAATTTTAAACAGGGTTGGAGAGAGGCAGGAGCCCTGCTTAACACCTTTTGTTTGTGGGAAAGCCTCAGAAATTTGATTTCCGACTTTAACGACCACTTGATTTTCTCTATACATTGCTTTTACGGCGTTTATGTATTTGCTATTTATGCCTGCTTCTTTCATTGCGATCCATAATTTCTGCAAAGGGACGGAGTCGAATGCCTTGCGGAGATCTATAAAAGTAGCGTGTAGCTCCATTCCTCTTGCTAATCTCTTTTTTTTTTTTTTTTTTTTTTTTTAAACTAACAAACTTATTTTAAATTTTTGGAACATATATTAAATTCAAATTAACAGTCTTCAGTCCATGAAACCCGAATCCATGATTCTAAGTTTTCGATGACATTGGATTGCTTCGATTGCTGCTCAGTGTTGTGAGTTTGCTCGCTTTCATCGGATTTTGGAATGTCTACGTTGTTCTCATCGAGTCATTCAACATCATGGTGCTCTAAATTTTGAATAATGCACATCAGTTCATTAGCACGACGAGCAGCGGCTCTTACAGGTCTAACTTTCCTATCAGTGTGCATGTTTAATTTTTTTGTATATTTTCGATGTGACGATTTATTGACTTGACGGAAGCATGATAAAGACCACACGTTTTGCATGTTCGACTTGAAAGTCTCAATTTTACCGTCGGACAAAAATAATCGTAGGGCATTTGCAGGAAATCTTTGAGTGAAGCACTTAAGCGTAGAGCTAAATTGGCTGGAAGATTAAGAAACTGCCCTCCTTCATCCAAAACCAAGTCATCAACTGTTTGTTTTACTTTTACAGGTGTTGGAAGAAACCTATTGTCTAGTAATCTAAATAGGCCACTTCTTGGACGACAGCATTCTGTATTCCTACATTTTACAATTTGAAGGAAGTATTGGCTCTCACACACATGTTCTGAATACCATTTAATGTCTGGAAAATCAGGAAGATCTTGTTCACCTGCCCCAAAATATTTTGCATTAACATTACAGCTATCAATTTCCATTGAACTCCATACTTCAGCTAATACATTTCCTGCAAATTCGAAATTAGATCTTTCTAAATGTTCATCAATTGTAACGCCACGTTCATCCAAATGAGACCCAAAATGGTCATGAGGCAATATTAAACCAGCCAGTTCCCGACTAAGAGGAGCCATTCTGCGCTCTACTCTGTTATACGCACTTCTTCCAGGTGCATTGGTAGGTAAAAACAATGCATCGAGGTCATGTCGCTTAAAGTGTTGTATAGCAAACCCTATGACTTTTTGATAACGTGGATTTTCATCTGGCCCTCCATCAACCGTCATGATTACCACTGGTTTTACTAGTCCATGGTCAGATTTAGCTAATGGTCGAAACTCTTCAAGTTCGAGAAGCGTCTCGAATAGCGATGAATGTTGGTCCAGAATATCCTACGGCTTGCGGTTGTCCCAGCATATTGGAAGTGATTTTGATACCAGCGTAAACAGATGGTATTAATTTATGACGCTCAGCGATTACCCAATCGTGATCAGGAAATACTTTGAGATAGGCCATAATATTTTCTAATCAGTAAAGAGAAACTTTTTGGCGATTTCTAATATTTCTAGTACTCATAGGTACCTAAAATGATTTCGTCACTCAAATTAGACAAAAAATTTAGTAGATTGGATTTATTCTTAGTCGCCGCTTGCAATTCTTCTTCGATTCTCTTAGATACAATAATATTAGTTCCTTGTCGGATTTTGCTTGTAATTTGTAATTTCGCCACACTTCGTTAACTAAATTTGTACATTTTGTACTATCGCACTTGTATGAGTTTTTTTGAAACTTTCAAACAATTTTTGGTATAACTTGGATTTGTCTATGTGAAACAACATCTTATTTAAACATTAAACTTTGGCTAATGGAATCAATGGTAACACAAATGTTAACTTGCTTTACTATGCTTACAATACGTCTACTCGCTATAGTATCCAAACGAAACAATACACTGGTAGAGGAAATTTAGACAAGTGAACACCGCGCGCTGTTCACTAAACGTATGCATTATTTGCGGGAATCCCCGAAAATGCGTTTCGTTTTCAAGCAAAGACAATGTGAGGGTTGCCATTCGTGTAAAAAAGTAAATAACTACCGATGACGTAATCATCATCTAGACTCCCCTACCCCTCATGTCATACAAAATAAGCAAAGCAAGGACACCCCCGCCACCCTCCCATAGTGCTCACGTAATACTTGAACGGCCCCTTATGCAAAACTTAAAAGACAACCCTCGTTAATACCGAGTAGCTATTACAAACTGTCGGCAGCACTTTTAAGTTATATATAGAGATCTCAGTATCGTAGACCGAAAATAACGGCTCCTATAATATGCAATTTCGTGATGATTGATCAAAAGAACGTATCTGTGTGGCTTGCGACCTTCAGTCTTCAGGAACACTCGTAATTGTTTCGAACAAGAGTGTACATCTGACACAGTCCGGAAAAAATTGAAACGGTTTTGGGTAAATTCATTTTTTTCTGTCTCTCTTTGTACTTTGAATTTCGAAACTGTCTAAGTCAGCGTTTCTCAACCTGTGGGGCGCGTCCCCGTAGGGGGGCGTGTCAATATTAAAGGGGGTCGCGAGCATATCAGAAAAAAACACTAACAACATCGAATAATTTACTAAAAGGAAAGAAAAACAAAATTCTGACATAATCAAAAATAAAATACACATTAACACTAATATAGCAGGTACACTTATAAACAGGACAGTATTTATAAATACTAAATTAAAAATAAGTATAATAATATTAATTGT